GTAGATTATCTACCCCCATTCTATTGCTCCCTTCTTTCTTCTTCCAGTGCAATAAGTCTGACCCTACTATAATTGATAATCCATGGTTGTTAAAGTCGATTTTCTTAAAGTAAAAGTATGACCATGACACTGCCACCTACTCAAACTACAGTGACTTCTATTGTCTTTTGTCATTGTTGTTGAGTCATGTCCCACTTTTCAGGACTCTGTTGACCATACTGTTTATGGGATTTTCTTGGCAAAGATACTGTAGTGGTTTGCCATTTCCTTATCCAGTAAATGAAGGCAAATGGTTAAGTCACACAGCTAGTAATTGTCTGAGGCTGGATTTGAACTCAGGTCTTCCTGACAATAGGCCCAGCCCTCTATCCACTGAGCCACCTAGCTGCCTCCTTCTGTTACCTTTAAGATTAATTAAAAACTACTGTTTGGCTTTTAAATCATTTCATGACCAGGCTTCCATCTACTTTTCCAACCTGGTTAGTCATTACTCATCTTCTAGCACTTTGCAGTCTAGCCAGATTGGCTTTCTGTTCCTCCCAAATGTTTCCTGTTTCTATCCTTTGCACTAGTTGTCCCGTGTCTAGAATGCACTACCTCTGAATCTTCATTTCTAGTAAATTTTGTTTCCTTCAAATCTAGGCTCAAATACAACTTATTGCATGAAGGTTTTTCTAACATTAGGCTGCTAGTGTTTTTCACCTCTCCAACCCCTCCAGTTACCTTGTATTTATTTTGCCTATATTTATGTTTTCCCGCATTGCTCCCCCCAACCCTCAATATTATCCGTGGAAATTCCTTGAGAACTGAGATTGTTTCATGATTGATTTGCTAATCAGATGGGTGAAGTGGAGCCTCAGAGTTGTTTTAATATGCTTTTCTCTTATTAGTCTTGGAACACTCATATAGTTGTTGGGTTGTTAATGCACATTTCATTTGAAAACTCCCTGTGCAGATACTGTGGCTAATTAAAGAATGGATGTATGTGTATGTGTGTATGTGTAATATGTGTGTGAATTTTCTATATGATTTAGTTGTCAGACCTTTATATCAATATTAGCTACAAAAGGTAACTGTTTCTTTTCTAATTCTATCTTCATTAATTTTGTTTGTGAAAAAACATTTCAATTTTGTGTTTAATCAAAGTTATCCATTTTATCTTTGATGATCCCCTTTCTCCCTCTACATATCCATTTTTTACCTAGCCATAGTTGTGAACAGTATTTCCTTCCTTCCTTCTCTAATTTTCATAAGACTTTTTATATTAACTTCATATATCCATTTCCTGCTTTTCCTTCTTCAGTTTATTGACTCTCAATCCTTGATGACCTCACACTCCCAATCAGGACCTCCTATGTCATTATTATTGCTTGCTTGTAGCCCAGACAAGCTCTGCCTAAGAGATAATCTTCTAGCATGAAGGCACATCAATTCACTACTGGTGGAATTGTGAATTGGGCCAGCTATCTCAGAAAATGATTTGAATAACACAAAAAAATTACAAAAGTTTTCAGACTCTTTGACCTAGCAATCCATTGATAATAAGAAAACCCCAACTGGTACAAAATAGTCATAGTACTATGTACCCAACAACTGTGGGATCCCTGAACAAATTGTGATTTATGAATATATTAAAGGAACATTCTTTTGCCTTAAGGAATGAAATATGGGAAGATCTGCATGAACTGAATAAAGAAGAACCAAAAGAACAATTACTGCATTAATGTAAATTACATTTTAAATGGCAAAAAAACTTCAATTATAATCATTGGTTAATGTTGGTACTAACTTATAAAACATGCATTTCATTTTTAACAAACAGAAAAATAGTGATATTAGGTATGTGTATTATCAGATACAATCATTCTCTTGTTTTACTTAACTGTTTTGGGGGAGAAAATACTCTCGTAGCAACAAAGAGAAGAATGTACAGTTCAGTATCCAAATTATTTACTTTTTTTTTTCAGATTCTGTCTTGTCCCTGACTTTACTTCACTACCTAAGTTTAGGATAGGTTCCCTCCAATGTTTTCCTACCCTTACATTTTCCCTGTGCCACAAGACTTTTAATTGCTTTATTTTGTTTGCTAGCACAACTATTATATTTTTGTTATTTATTACTATTTTTAAACTACAACATTAATTTTTCGGCATCCTAGAATGCACACCTTTGCCTTAGGCAACAAAACTTATGGGAACAAAGATTTCAGAATGCTAATCCAAGCAGTGAAAAATAATGACTTCAAGAGATTGATGCTGAAACACACCTCCCATTTTTCGACAGAGAAAATGGAAAAGGGATGCACAAGGAGATAGGCATTCTCAGACATGGCCAATGTACTGACCTTTTTTTTTTTTCTGGACTATACATATTTGTTATAAGGGAAGGATTCTATTGGAGGGAGAAGGAAAGTTAGTAGGTAGCAATATATACACTCAAAAAAGCATCCAAAAACATTTTTAAATGCATGGAAGAAAAACTGCAGAATGGGATACAAATGGAACAACTGTGTTATTAATTTGTTAAATTATATATTTTTCAGTATATATGGATATTCATATGTGTGTGTGTGTGTGTGTGTGTGTGTGTGTGTGCGTGCCCTACTCAGATGGATCTGTGACTTCATCAATTTGGGAGTTCTTTACAATAATAAAAATTGCATCCCATCCATGCTTGTCCATCCTGTGCAACTCATCCATGTCTTCCCACAGGTACCCCAGAAAGTTCACCCAGTGTGCTAGAGCCTTTCTTCTCCTTTGTTTGACACTGCAAAGTATCAGTGGAACACTTTCTTCCTTCACATGACCAGCACATCTGCTCTTCCTATCATAATTCCTTGATGATATCTTTTATTCCTGTTTTTCAGAGTTCCTCATTGCTCATATATTGCATTCTGCTCATACCCACCATGATCCTCTTCAATTCCTTCTATGTGATGCCCACGTTTAGTTCTTCTAAGGCAGTTGTATTCCATGGCTTAATACCATATAGTAATACCCTGAGCCTCTGGGGTGAAAGGAAAGGACAAGTATCCCCAATAATTATGATACAAGTGAGAACAAGATGAGTGCAAAGTAAAGATCCGGGCAAAATGCTAAGAAAAATTTGAAGAAGGACGGATATTGGTTGTACTATATATTACTAGGGATAGTAATGCCTGCACACTTGTATTCCTTCTTCAGTCAGGTGGAGTGATTCTATTTCTTCATGGAGGTAGAATTTGAGTGAGACCTTCCCCAAACAGAGGGCAAAAAGGAGTATATTCCATGCATGGGAAAAGTATAAGCAAAGGCATAAAGTTTCAGATGGCATTAAGATTGAGTAGTCCAGTTTGACTAACATAAGCAATATGTGAAGGTGACTGTGAATATGTGCAGGTAAATTATAAACTCCTTGAGGTCAGATTTTCACTTTGCCTTTTTATACTTTGTCCCTAGCTCTGTGCCTTCAATACAGAAGGTGATTAATAAACACTTGTTGGATTGAATCCATTGGGTATAGTGTGAATTAAAGTTAGGCTGATAGACAGTGGACTCAGATTGTGAAAATCCTTAAAATGTCAGGCAGGGGCTTATACTTTATTTTGGAGGCAATGGGGAGTCACTGACAGATAAGTGGTGGGCCATGATCAAAACAGTCAAGGCATTAAGACAGGAAGTGTAGCTTCATGGAGAGTTAACCTTAAGGGCAAAGAGATCTGTGTTGAAGTGTATCCTCAGAGATATGGATGTGTGCCTCTGGACAACTGACAGCCTTTCAATGCTCTAGGTAACTCTTAAAGCCTATAAATTGTGAAGGTGCTAACCTAAATATATAGGACTTTTCTCCAAAGGAATTCCTTATACCAATAAATAACAGGCAAATCAAATCACTTGAATTCTCTGACCACAAGTTCCCTAAATAGCAGCAATTCTCTTTTCTCTATTCCACAAAAGGCTTTCCTTACAAGAGCCCTGCGAGGAAGGCGGCATTATCTTCATTTTCCAGATGAGGAAACTGTGGCCGGACACTTTGAAGTTGCTTCAGGGGCAGCAAAAACTGTAAGGGTTCGCGTGAAAAATTTTGAGGTTCTGTACCTGAATGATTTCAGAGGGAGTGAAATGCTGGGATGGTGGCAAGATATACTGCAAGAGTATAAAGAGGTTGGCAATTGCTTGGATGTGTAGTGTTAGAGAGGAATCAGGGATGTCTCCAAGATTAGGAGCCTGAGATTCTGGGATGACGGTAATGCCATTAACAGAAAGAATAAGAAGTCGGCTTTGGTCCACAGATTTTAAAAATGCTCTTATTAAGCAAAGATGGTACTGTAATGGGTTTCAAGGAAACCTAAAAAATAGGTTTCAGTTCATGCTGCACTTAGCCAGTACAACTCCCCACTCCTCCCGCCCCCAATTTAAGAGCAAAATGCAATTACAACAGAACCGCAGTTCCAACATTAACAGAAAGAAGAAGAAAAAATTAATATTAAGTCTTGTTAGCTTCCCAAGATGAAAAAGATGTGACGAGGCTAGAGAACATGAGACTTGAAAACATGATACACATCTAATTGCAAATGACCTTAAAAGCTATCTGGTCCAACACCGTTCTGTCCCAATGGTCCCAGGACGTGCCCCTAAGAGATGAGGTGACCGCAAGGAGTCATCTTGCCACAGGCTCAGACCCGGCGGCACCTCTCCGCCCTCAGGGTGAGGCTTCAGGACTTCACTGGCCTAAAGGGACAGAAAAACACAGCGCGAACAGAGAGCTCGACAATTAACGGGCTAAAGACTTAAGAGGCATTGGTGGAGGTTGCTGGGTGGGGGTTGGGGGGGTTTGGATACCAACATTAGCGAGAAGGCACGTCCGATTTTCCACAACGTACCGGACACAGAACCTGAAGAGAACTAAATTAACAAACAGTGGCGCAAGCGCAGGCAACACAAAGCAACTTCCGGCCTCAAACTCCCAAGGAAAGTAGCGCGGCGCAGCGAATCCTACCTCATTTCCGGCGCCCTTTTTGGTAACCGGAAGTTAGAAATTGCGCATGCCTTAGGGGGGCTTCTAACTGCCTCCTGCGGTTCTCTTTCCTGCACCTTCAGACACGTGCAGCCGGGGAAAATGGGTGCTCTGGTGGATGAGAAGGAGCCTCAGCTCGTGTCACACGAGCAGGTAGGACTGAGCGGGCGACCCCCACAGATGTGTGTCTGGGCTGAGGTTGGGCGGCCGGGGTGGGGGTGGATTCCGGGACAGGCCGCAGCCGCGGGGTGAGGCTGGAGACCGAAGATACGAAGCGGGGCCGGCCTGGGCCCGGAGCCCCCGCGGCCTTGTTCCCAAGGCTTCCCTCCATAAGGAGCGCGTTTCTCAGACCCTCCACCCGCCCGTCTCCTTGCTGGCGAGCGTGACGAGGGGAAGGGGCCCCGAGGCCGGGCCGGGCGGGCTCTCGAGATCATCGTTCGCTGTCTTCGCCCCGGCAGCCTAAAACCACTGGAGCCCCCGGCCTGTGATGTGGCCTCTGCCCACGCGTGTCGTCCGTGGCCCGAGGTAGCAGGACGAGGGTAGAGTTTGGGGCCCGGACTGATTGGACTGGCCAGTCTGGCCATTTGACGCTTGACGTCCACCTTCTGCATAGTGGCCCTCCTCCATTCCCCTTCCTAGACTCGGCTCTCGCCTGTTTCACAATTTTCTTTTTTCCTTTTAGATGTCATCCCTCCCTCTCCCCTTCCCCCCATTAAATGGCCACCTCTGCCTAGACCATCAGGAGGCAGCGAGGTGGCTGGTGGGTAAGAGCGCTTGCTTTGGGATCAAGAAGACCTGAGTACAAGTCCTGCCTCAGACACTTAATAGCTGTGTCACCCTGAGCAAGTCAGTTAACCTTGTTTACTTCAGTTTCCTCATCAGTCAAATGAGTTGAAGGAGGAAATGGTAAACCACTCTAATATCCTTACCAAGAAAACCCCAACTGGAATCATGAAGAGAATGAATGACATGACTGAGTAACAGCAGTGTAGAAGATTCTCGAATGTATCTATGTTCAGTTTCAGTCTCTCTCCCTGAGCTCCACTTTTGGACCTCCCGTCTACTTGAAAGACATTTCTATCTGGGTATCTATCAAGCCCTTCAAACTTTAAGATCTACAATTCTGCATTGACAAAGACCAGTACCTGAAGTGCACTCCCTTTTCATCCCTGCCATGCCATTCTTACAATCAGCTAAGGACCAGTTCTTCCATAACTCCTTCTCATGTACTCTTTCCTTCTCAAATTTTTTTTATTTTGGCCTTTTCCAAATTCTACTTTGCCCTTTTTTGTGTACTTGTCAGTACTATATGATTTTTCATCTTTGTACCTCTGTGCCTAGTAGAGTGCTTGCCCAGGACTTAATAATCGGGTTGAGCTTGTTAATTGGTGTTACTATTTAGATACTACCTTATTGCTGTGGTGTTGGAAAGTGGTGGGGAGAATTACTATTGTGAGCTAAATTTAAAGACTTCCTAAGTGTGGAAAGTTTCATTGGTTCAACAGTCATTTATTAATCGATTGCTTTTGCATGCAGCTAGCCAGGTCCGTGTACCTGTGAACAGAAACAGTCTGTACTTTTTCTTCTATACGGGATTTATGGAAGGGCATGGACAAAAATTGGCCAGTATGATAGGGTATGGATGAATGGTATGTAGTCTTGTAGTAATTGGGGAATACTTAATGAATGCCAAATGCTTAGGTGCTTCTGGGGCACAGAATAGGTACTTAATGTTAATTGAACTGAATAAAATGGCTTTAAAGGTTTTTGTCAATTCTGAGATTATACAGCAAATGTTAAAATGTACGACCTGCCCAGCAGAAAAGCATACATTGGAAGAAAAAAAATGAATCTAATGCTGAATCATATAACTGAACCAAATTTAAGCATTCTTTTTTTAATCTTTGTAGATCAGAAAGGCTACAGAAGCTTTGTTGGGATATAGAAAGAACAAACAAAACGCTAATACATTGCTTTTGAATGAAAATGAGAATGTGTTTTTAATGGTGACATTATGGAAAATTCCCCCAAATGGAAAAGAAATCAAAATGTAAGTTCTTCTAAAGTTCTAAGTTTGCTATTGATTTTAAATGCTTTGTTTCTTTGTCCTACTAGCAAATGCTTTTTATTACTTGCCACTACTTGGCAGTTTCAATAATAACAGTAGCTTATACACATGTAGTGCTTTATAGTTAACAGACGGCTACATTTGCATTATCTCACTTGTTCTTCACATCATTCCTGAAAGTTCAAGACAAAGAGGTTAGGTGACTGACTCAAGATTACTCTTTTTTTATTTGGCAGAGCTAGAACTTCACAATCCAGTTTACTTTATTTTAACCATTCAGTCTTCCTTGCAGTGAATTTTCTTAGCCTTCCAGTAGCTTCATCCCACTTCTACTTAAAATCCAGGATTTTATTTGTATCTGAGTGATAGGAGTGGGGAGTGTCAGAAGAACGCCCTCTCTTCCCTTTTCTCTCTATTCTGTCCTACTTGGTGAACTCATCAGCTCCCTTGGGTTCAGGTATCCTCTTTATACAGATGATTCCCAGGTGTAGTCTCCTAAATGCCAGTCCTGTGTCACCAACTCCCTTTTGATCATCTGAATTGTCTTTTAAGCATTTCAGAATCAACATGTCCAAAACAATCTTCTCTCTCCTCTCAACTCACCTGTATTTTGAGCTTCCCTGTTATAGTCAGTTCTGCTGTAATGCTTGTTTTGAAAACATGAATTTGTTGCAGTGGGATTGCTATATTAAGGAAACAAGTTGAGCATAATTCAGATTTTATTGGCTCATACCCAATTTCATCTGGGAGCAACAATGAGAAAACAAACTGGTACCACTTCACAATAACTCACAAGCTAGAACCCTTCTGGCCATGCTTTGGTCCACTCCACCCCTTGCATCCTTGAGTTGTGGTTGCCTTCTGAGGACATCCTTTTACCAGTAGCTTTTGACTTTTCCCTGAGGTATCCAAATCCCTATTCCTCTAATAAATGAACTCAACTGAGATAGATGGGATTTAAGGATTCAAGCAGGGAGGCACTTACTTACAAGGAGGACCCCCAAGATGAAGAAGGCAAACTGGACATAGAGGGTTAGAGGTCGTACCAAAGCTCCTGGATCACTTCTCCAGTGGTTGTGAAGAAGCCCCCTCGGCATGATGCATCCCACTTCTAACACCAGAAATGTCAACTGGGTAGAGCCCACCCATCAAAATGCAGAGAAGTTCAAGTTGGGTTGAAAGCAGAAAAGTTTTATTAGGAGGAAAATCAGTAGTGCTGAGGAACCCCAGTACAAAGGAGCCCACGGCCCAGGAGAAGCTGGGGAGATTTTGCTTGAAAACCACGAAGAGGAGGATCAGGGAGGTGTGGAAAAAGAATGGACAGTCTTTCCCAGGAACTGGTGGACATAGAAGCAGGATGTTTTGCAGGAACAGTTGACCTCTAGCCTGGTTTGGGCCAGTTTTGAGGGGCACAGCTCAGCAAGGTCAGCCAGTAGACACCACTAAGGGCATCTATGAGCAAGACTTTGGCTACTTACAGGCTCTCGATTGGCTCCTTTGAGCAAACTAGCTTACTCTATGTCCAGTGCATCTCCCTGGTAAGATAATTCATATAAAACATACATTAATCTCAGAGGTATTTCTACAGCCTCCCCTTTTGAATGAGTAGATTTTGTTGGTTTTTTTTCATGATCTTAAGAAATTAGCATATACATCTCTATTGAGGACTACCTTTTTCCAACTAAGGCTTTCTAGACCTTTCTAAGCAGATACCCAAACCATTAACTCTGAAAAAAAATGTGTCTGGTCAAGAGTTCTTAACTTGGACTCTGTGAACTTGTTTTTATGTTCTTTTTTTGTTGTTTTTTTAAAGAATGTTTTTTCCCCCTCAATTAAATGTAAATTTTTAACATTTTTTTATAATTGTTGAGTTCCTAATTCCCTCCTCTCCTTCCCTTTCTCCTCCTTGAGAGGGCAAGCACTTTGATATAAATCATACATGTACAGTCATGCAAAATATATTTCCATGTTAGCCTTGTTGCAAAAGAATAGAGACCCCCCCCAAAAAAAAACCCCAAGAAAAATAAAGTTTAAAAAGTATGGTTCATTCTGAATTCAGACTTTCAGTTTTTTCTCAGCAGGCAGATAGCATTTTTCATGTCCTTCAGAATTGTGTTGTATTATTGTTTACTGAGAAAAGCTAAGTCACTCGCAGTTAATCATTGTGTAATGTTGTTATTGTGTACAATGTCCTCTTAGTTCTGCCCACTTAACTTTGTATCAATTCAGATAAATCTTCAGGTTTTTCTGAAATTATCCTGCCCATCCTTGATTTCCTTAGTCCTGGTCTCTGCCCATCTCTAGCTTGGCAACCACTTTAAGCCATGGCAATTATATACTAAAATTTGTTTAGCCATTCTGCAATTGATGGACATTTCAATTTCCCACCAGAAAATGAGTTGCTATAAGTATTTTTGTACATATGGAATCTTGTTCTTTGATCCCTTTGAGATACAGACCTAGTAGTGATATTGCCGGGTCAAAGGTTTATATACAGTTTTATAGTCATTTGGGCATTGTTTCAAATTGCTCTCCAAAATAGATCAATTCATAATTCCACCAAGAGTGTGTTAGTGTGCCAATTTTTTGAACTTGTTTTAAACTTTGATAACTGATTACCAAAATAATCCATGATAAAAAAAATTTAAGAAGCCCTACTTTAAGCTATATTTTTAAACACATTTGGTCATATGCTTTATTTAGCCCCAAATTTGTTGGTATCTGTTTGTGATGGTTTTCTTGAATTTTGTTTTCCTATATCAGTGAGAAATGTGTTTTGTCGGTAATGAGTTATTAATGGTATCTGCTTAGTGAAATATCTTACAAATGAAAATCTTTCTTGAATAAAAAGTAACTATCAATTTCATGTTGCATTCTTTCAGACACAAAGGTTTATCAATCTGGCCTACCTGTTGGCTGGGTACTGGGACTTTTCACCAGGGCTCTTTTATTTTTACAGACCTTTGCCTCATGGTATTAGACCTGATACAAAAGAAGTTTGTTTATTTACCAAGGATGAATCCAATTTAACTTCAGAGCAGACAGAAAATTTCTATAAGCAGCTTTTGAAAAAGAATGGGATTACAAACATTACTGAGGTAAGGGAAAGTTAATGCTTTTTAGGACTTCAGAAGTGGGGAATTTGTGTGTGTGTGTGTAAGTGTAAAACCTGTTGATCCCTCTGTAAAAGTTTCTAATGTAGTTGAAATGATAATTATATTTCTTAATTCCTTTTTAGGGACATTCTGTTGAGCATTTATAAAGTACAGATAAGATAATTCTACTTTCAAAAACATGGAGAATAAATCAGGAACTGTTGCTTGGGGAAGTTCACAAATTAGAAAAATTAGTGTGTTACGTAATTTATATTTATACTTTTAGTTATTTCAGGTGCTGCCTTCCTTTATTTTGGTTTTGGACTCTTGGTTTCCTTACATTGTAAAATTTAGTAGGATTTATCAAAGTAGTTTTGCTTTTTAAAAACTTTTTTCCAGTTACATGTAAAAATATTTTTAACATTCTTTTTTCAAATTTTGAGTTCCAGATTCTCTCCATTCTTCCCTTCCTTGGCCTGTCATTGAGAAAGCAAGCAATTTGATACAAGTTCAGCATGTGCAGTCAAGCAAAGCAAACTTCCATAGTACTCATGTGGTAAAAGAAAACAGCCAAAAAAAAAATCCCAAGAAAAAACAGTTTAAAAGAGTATACTTTGATCTGCAGTCAGACTTCATCAGTTCTTTCTCTGGAAGTGGATAGTATTTTCTGTCATAAGTCCTTTGGAATTGTCTTGGGTCATTTTATTGCTGAGAATAGCTAAGTCATTCTCAGTTGTTCATCATACATTCTAGTTGTTACTGTATTTGCTGTTATCGTGTTCTACTCACTTTACTCTGCATCAGTTCATATAACCTTCCCCTACCCCCAAGGCAGTCAGGGTTAAGTGACTTTCCCCTCATCACACAGCTAGTAAGTGTCAAGGGTCGGAGGCCGGATTTGTGCTCAGGTCCTCCTGACTCCAGGGCCAGTGCTCAAATCCACTTCGCCACCTAGCTGCCCCCATAAAAGTCTTGATGTAAGTTTTGCCAGGTTTTTCTTAAAGCATCTTGCTCATCACTTCTTATTGAATAATAACGTTCTGTCACAATCATACCACAACTTATTCAGCCATTCTCAAATGATGGGCATCCCCTCAATTTCCAGTTCTTTGCTACCACAAAAAGACCTGCTAGTAATATTTTCATACATATAGGTCCTTACCTTTTTTTTTTTTTAATTTCTTTGGGATACAGACCCAGTAGTGATATTGTTGGGTCAAAGGTTCTGCACAGTTTTATAGCCGTTTGGTCATAAGTTCATATTGCTCTCCAGAATGGTTGGATCAGTTCACAACTCCTCCAATAGTGCTTTGGTTTCCCAGTTTTCCTCTTTCCCCTTCAAAATTTGTCATTTTCCTTTTTCTGTTATATTAGCTAGTCTGATAGGTGTGAGGCAGTACCTCAGAGTTGTTTTAATTTGCATTTCTTTAATCAGTATTGGCAATGAAACTGCATCTTGTACCCAGTGCCAGCCAAGTGTCCCCAGTAATCTTCTGACCAGTTGTCAGACCCCTTACGATCTGTGGGCTGAGAGCTAATCATGCCTGAGCCTGGAATGGTCCCACTCTCATTCTAGTGAGATAGACCTTTCCTGCTGACTTTCTAAGTTGTCTTGAGCTGGAACATTGTTTCACTCTGTCCTTTTGTTGGCTTTGCCACTCCAGAATTCATTTTGAGGCATTATTTTAAAGTTGTTTGGAAGGGAATTTGTGAGAGCTCAGGTGAGTCCCTGCTTTTACTCTGCCATCTTGGCTGTGCCCCTCAGCTGATGAAGGTTTTCAAAATATTTAGACCTCTTCCCAATCTTCAGTGATACATAAATTTATTTTTTGTACTTTCTAGGTCATCCCTTACACAAGATTAAAACATGAATATAAACCTTATGAAGCTAAACGGCGCCTTTTGAGCAGTTTTGACCTTTTCCTTGCTGATGAAAGAATTAGACGACTTTTACCCTCACACATAGGAAAGCATTTCTATCGCAGAAAGAAGTAAGTTGTTTTTCTTTAGTGAACTGTTGAATTATTGCTAGCCTTCCTCAAATGATTTCATGATGGTGGTTTGGTTTTGTTTTCTTCATAGGGTACCTTTATCAGTAGACCTCACAACTAAGAATTTGTCAGAACACATCAATAGAATTGTCCAGGGAACTTCATTAACTGTCACTAATCATGGTTGTTGCAAGTAAGTAATAGTGTATTTGTTTATTTAGCTTGAAACAATCTTGTGAATTTTTTAGGATATTTTGTAGATTGAATTATTTCTCCACATTGACAACAGAATCTACTCCTTACAGTTTCTGTACCACTTTTAACTGGTTAGAGTTTTTGCTTAGTGTTAACTTAAGTGTTCATTGAAAGTGTTAATTTGTGTCACTTTGAAAAGAACGCCTTAATATTTCTGTAGCTTTTTATTTGCTCCCTTTTTTAAATTCATGAATGCAGTCACTTCCCAGTTATCCAGCTTTCCATTTTATCCAAGGAAAATCTTATCAGTTCTGTTGACATTGTCACCTGTTATGCCTAAAAATTCATTTCAGGAAGCACCTAGCAAGTGCCTATGGTGTGCTAGGAATTGGGGATACAAAAACTAAGAAAGGTATTTCCTATTCTGAATGAGGGGAAAGAAGTCATCAGAGAGATAAAATATATAGAAAAATAGCAGTTTTTTGGGGGGTGGCCTAGGTAGTGGGGTTAAGTGACTTGCCCAGAGTCACACAGCTAGTAAGTGTCAAGTGTCTGAGACTGGATTTGAACTCAGGTCCTCCTGACTCCAGGGTCAGTGCTCTAACCACTGTGCCACCTAGCTGCCCCTTGCCTGATGCTTTTTAATGCAGCCAATGAAGTGAGAAACGAAAAAGTCACCAAATCATGTCTTCATGGTGTGGTTTTGTTGGTTGCTTTAATGTCCATGGCATGGTGGAAAGGGCACTACCCTTGGAGTGCAGGGACCTGGCTTTGCTTCTTACTGCCTTCAGGGCTCTTAACTATTCTAGTCGTTAAACTCTTCCTCTGTAAAATGAGAGCATTGGATTAGGTAGCCCCTGAGGTTTCTTGTAGGTCTAAATCAATGATCCTAGGAGCCTAAGAATATGCTGCTTTGGAGACAGAGTTCCTTTAGATTCACTCTGTGCCACTGTTTTCATCTATTTGTGTAGCTGATTAGGCCTTGACTGTTCTTTGGATGATTAAATGATTTGATTGAATGTAGCAGGCTAGGCTACAGTGGTACTTCGGACAGAGCAAAATTAAATTCATTGGCTTATACATTAAAATTTATTACTTTTTACATCTTAAAAAGTTTTACATCTAGTGTTTCCTTTTACTGCAATCACTTGTTTTATACAAATTTGCATGGATTTACGAGATTTTAATCACATATTCTTTAATGTTTTAGCATGAAATTACATTCTTACCACATTTGTTGTTAAAAATATCTTTGAAAAATAGTCCGTTTTCCCAAGTCTAGCTGTTATTATAACCCATAGCTTTCTTTTCCCTTCTTTTTTGGGGTGGTGGTAGTGGTTACAGACATTTATAAACAGGCAAAGTATTAAGACTTTGATAGAACCACTTTAGGGTCTTAAGTAATTATACTTTCTCTCTGACCTCTGGTGATAAAGAGGTTCAAAGGGGATACATAACATCATTTCACCATATTAGAACATAAGCAGTTTATCCTTATTTGTATTTACCTTTTTATGCTTCTCTTCGCTCCTGTGTTTGAACTTCAAAGTTTTATGCAGCTTTTATTGTTTTTATCAGGAATACTTGGAAATCCTCTGTTCATTAGAGGTCCATTTTTTTCCCATGTAGTTATGCTTACTTTTACTGGATGAGTTATTTTCGTTTTTGCATTACACTATTCCAGGCTCTCAACTCCTTTATAATGGTGGCTGCTTAAACCATGTGATCCTGACTGTATCTGACTCTTTCTTTCTGGTTTATTGGCAGCATTTTTTTTCTTGGACCTGGAATCTGAATTTTGACTATAATGTTGTTGACACTTTACATTTTAGGGTTTCTTTCAGGAGGTGACTAATGGATTTCTACTTTGCCCTCTAGTTATAAAGAGATCTGGGCAGTTTTCTTTTTAGAATTCTTGAAATAAGATTTTCAGGTTCTTCTTTTGGTCATAGTTTTCAGGAAGCACAATGATTCTTAAATTTTTTTCTTCATGATTTGTTTTCTAAGTCTCTCTTGCTATGAGATACCTTATGTTTTCTTGTAGCTTTTCAGTCTTTTGACTTTGTTTTAATAGAGGCAACTACATGACACAGGGGATAGGGCTCTGGGCCTGGAGTAAAGAAAGAACCAAGTTCAAGTCTGTCTTAAGATCCTTATTAGCTGTGTGGCCCTGGGAAGTCATTTAACCTGTTTGCTTTCATTTCCTCGAATGTAAAATGGGGATAATAACAGTACCTACCTCCCAGCATTGTTGTGGAGCATCGAATTAGATTGTAAAGTGCTTAGCACAGTAACATGCACATCGTAAGTGCTATATAAATACTAGTTGTGTTTTTTTTAGTTCTTACTTCTTCATGTCTTAGAGTCATTGGCATCTATTTGTTGCATTCTGGTTTTCAGGGAGTTTGTTGCTTTGGCAAGGTTTTACCTCTTATGCTAGCAAGTTGTTAATTCCATTTCCATGTCTTTCTTTCATAGCTCTCATTTTGTTGTCTTATTTCCCTTTAGTGATCTCATTTCATTTATAAAAACATTATTTAAAAAACCTTTTTTTTTAAACTCTTGCTTCATCTCTTCCAGAAATTCTAGTTGTGTTTTTCCTTGTGACTTTTCTTACAGATATTTTGGAGTCATTCTCTTCTGGATTTATTTCTTAAGCATTCCTGTGACTATGATAGCTTTTTATAGTAGGGTTTCTTTTTTTTAATTTGCTCGTTCCTCTACAGCAAGGACACATGTACCATGCAAAAATCCAAAATTCATTTGGCTAAGAGTGGAGAAACCAGCTAAATGTCGTTTTAATTGGTCAAAGTAAGACATTGTAAGTCAGCCTAGTATCAGTAGAACACATGCCTGAACATTTCTTCACAAAATAAAACCATATCAAAAATTTGTCCTGTCCCAAGTAATTCATACACCATTATATTTAGTTTGTGTCTTTACCACCTAGTGGTTTCCCTTTTTTATTAAAATGAGAGAAAAGTTTTCATTTTTATGCATAACTATCATCTCTTTAATTTCAGTACAGCACGTGTGGGTCACACAGGAATGCCTGTAGATCACTTAGTGGAAAATATTGTTGCTGCTGTAGATGTGCTTTCAAAAAAGTTGCCTGAGGTACTGTGCTTTGGTTGTGTCAATTCTTACTGCGTTAGAGGATATTCTTTGGATAGCATACTATTTTAAATTTTTCTTTTTTTACAGAAGTGGGAGAGTGTAAAAATTCTACACCTGAAAACAGAAAAATCTCTTTCCCTTCCAGTGTTTTCTTCATTTGTCTCCCATTTGGGTTCTCGGAAAAGTAAGGTAAACAGTAGATCTAGAGTTAGCTTTAGATGTAGATGACATAAACCCGCTAAATATTGAACTTTCTCTAATTATAGTGTAGGACGAAACCAATACAGCCATGATTTGGTAGTTAAGAATTTTCACTAGAGGTTTTTGATGGTTTTAAAATACTTTTGTATCCATGCTACCACAGTTGTGTGAGATACTTGTTTTTCTTACCAGCATCAGTTGGCTTTGGAATGTCACTAAGTTTTGAGGAAATGATAGCTTTCCACTTTGTGGGTTGTCAGAGCCCTTTCATCTTCCCCTCCCCCCATATGGAGGCAGCCTGGGGTGAACATCTGCCCTGGCACCAGAAGAAACCTTCCTGAGCTCAAACTCTGACTTTAATTGGGCATGTGACTGTAGCAGGTCACTGACCCACCCTGGGTTGGTTTTCTCATTTTCAAAATAGGTCTGTTAATTTGCATCCTTGATTAGGATGTTTTTAGCAAAATGACACACATGTAAATTATAGTAGTTGTTACTTCATGAGCTCATTAATATTTGTACAAAGCAATACAGGGAAAGAATTAGTTTTATTATTTCTGGCAGAGGGTGAGATTGAAATTATTGGGTAAGGTTTGGGAATAGTCTCTGCATAATCCATAAACGACTAAATCAGCTACAGATACTATTACAAGTAGCACCTGAAAGGCTTTGTATTAAAGATTTCTAGAGTGATACTTTAGAATAAGATGAATTTTGAAATAAAAATACTTCAAACTAAAGTTTCGCTCATTTTTGCTGATTGATAGAAGCAAAAGCAAGACAAGAAAGTGGCCGCCAAGCCTGCTCAGGCTGCCATGAAGCCTGAGAGTGAGTGTCCTTTGGATGGTCATGGGCTAGAGGCAGAAGAGAAGGGCAAAGGAGAGCCTGGCTCTGACGATGAGATTCCACAGCTGGTTCCAATTCAAGCAGCATTGCCTCAAAAGTGCCCAGAGGTAATTTTGTTATTTTCTTAAAAATGTAATGCACATATATTTATTTAAAAGAAACCTTTCTATGCAAGATTTTAAAGTAAAAAGTACTTTGATAGGAAAGGCCCAGGTGTTGGGAAGATTGCCTTATTTGGTTTTAGGTTTTGACACTATGGCTTTAGTTAATGAAATAACATATCTGGAAAAATAGTCCAGTTTTTTTTTTTAATGTGGTGAAGAATGTTCAGGAGAGGAGTTTTTTAGTAGCTGTGAGTTCACATTTCTATATTTTAGTTCTAAGAAACACTAGCCTAGTTATAAGCCTTGATTATTAGCAGTGAAATCATGAGAATTTCAAACACCATTTCCAAAAATGATTGGGTGGGATCTCCCTTTAGATTTGTTCTGTCTATCCTAGAGCATTTCTGAAGCCATAGAATTTAGGCTGCCTGGTGATTTCCACATTATAGATCACATTATGCTACATATCATTGGTTCCTTAGTCTCCTTTGTTACAGCTCTGTGTCCCACATTATGTAACTTTCTTTCCTCCTGCCTTAGGTTTCAGGTGGGCTGATTAAAAGTGAATTAAGCAAAAGAAAAATTTTTTAAAAAAGCAAATAAAGCCCTTGTCCTTCAATGTGAATTGGCTCTTTGTTCAGAAGATGTCTTATAATCTTCATTCATTTATATACATAACATCCATTGGTGTATGGGGAGGTTCAGTTGTAAGGATGAGGAAAATGAGACACCAGGCTGCTAAAGGATTGGGCAAGTGCAGAGTCAGAATTCATGTCTAAATCTTCCGGCTATCCATTTGTCCAGTACAACCCTGAATCTGCCTCCTGTGGTAAATCAAAGGGCGATCCATACTTAGAGGGGACAAGAGGTATCTTTTGTGATTAATTATGGAAATATGGAGCAGGGAAAGACTATGCAGGCTGGAGAGCACATCCTATTTTCTTTGAAGAATGGGAGCTACTTGTTTATTGCATAGGCTTAGTTAGTTGGTCTTTCTCTTTATCAGCTTCAGGAAACAGCCCTAACAAAAGAGTCTACAGAAGAGAGCCTCAGCCCTGAAACACCACAAGCTAAAACTGGTAAAAAGAGAAGGGCCTCCAAGGCGCTGGAGACTCCAAAACAGATTGGCAAAGCTTCCACAAAGGTGAAGAAGACTCCAGCCACTGGCAAATGTAAGAAGCCAAGAATCCAATCCCCAAGAAACCTGAGAAAGAAAGTAATTCCTCAGTAGAGGCCAAAGCCTTGGAATAGACTCCCAAGAAGTTAAGAGGTCATAATAAAGTAGGGAAAATTGAATGGCTTTGAAATAAAATCTATTTTTACTTGCTTTTCTAGTTACTTCACACAATGAAAAAATCAACAGATTTCAGTGCTGTATCAGTGTGCTTCAGTTCCCTTAAGATGGTGTAGCATTTGTTACTGAGCCAGTCTTCCTCATGTGTTTAAAATATGTCTGCTTTACTGATTTTCTTGCAAATATTAACTTTAGCCTTATGACTGTTTCTTGTCAGATTTAATGCATTTGTTTACTGTACTAGTAACTTAAAATAAATCTGGCTATTCCTGAAAGCACTCAGTGAATTGATACAAAGTTAATGAAGGAAAGAAGAATGCTATTTGTATTTGTAAGATCTTTCCCCTTTCTCTTTTCCCTTCTTTAAGGCCAAAAGATCCCAAACTTACTATAGAGTTAGAATATTCAGAATAGACTAGGTCTAATGGCTGAAAATACTGTTTTGGGTTTTTTTTTTAAACAGTGAAAATGTATTATGTTTGCATTCTTGGAGCTTTCACTGTTTATGATTGAAACCAAAGACAGGAAAAGAAATTTATGTGCATTCATTTCATTCCTGTACCTTTTAATTTAGTTTGACAATCCCAGAAACTAATAGGTCATTTTTAAGATTTTCCACCCAGGAACAATTTCTCAATTAGTCATAGTTTTAAAAAAGGTAGCAGAATTTAAAAAAAAATCAGAATAATGAAGGAACCACTATAAAGTTTAGACAGTTGCTATAATCTCTTTGGACTACCAGAAGACTTGGGGGTATGGCAGTATATAGTCAATATAATATGTTTATATTTTGCTTTTTCATCTTACACTTTCCTACTTCTAAATAAATGTAATTGAAAAAGTGTTTGAGTGGTGTTTAGGTATTGTTTCCCACTGAAGTTTTAGTAAGCAGTAGGATTTTTGATTACATATAAGATTGTGGAATGGATTTACTTTGTATTCTTTTGCTATGGAAGTGTCATAGCAGGGATTCTTCCTAGCCTGGGGCACCTTTCCAAGTCAATCATTAATAATCCCAGCATCTCAGAGTTGGGTGATGTAAGCAAACCTTAAGCAAGAATCTCCTTGAGGACATTGCTAGCAATTTACTGTTGCTTCTGAGCAGCCTGATCTGCAAGTTTTTCCTTCACTGAACTGAAGTCTGCCTCTCATTTTAACACATGACAGAGGGGGAAAGACATCTGACATCAGAGGACCTGAATACGTGTCATAACTGATGGCTTTCTTTACCTGTGTGACCTTCGGCAAGTGACTTAATCACTCTGGGCCTCATTTGTAAAGTGGGGATGTGCCAGCTTTATATCTGATCACTGCTCCTGGTTCCTCCCTTAAGGACTAGGTCAGGTAAATCTAAGCTCCACATGAACAAGCACAGTGGATAAAACACTGGGCCTGGAGTCAGGAAGACCTGAGTTCAAATCCAGCCTTAGACACTGAGCAAGTCATAACCTCTGTCTCAGTTTCCTCCCAGGGTGGTTACAAAGCAGTGCCTAGCACATCATAAACACTCTATAAATGTTAGCTAACATTATTATTCTCATAGGCACTGTGCTAAACACTGCTAGGGGTGGCTAGGGTATAGAGAGGAGCAAAAATAGTCCCTCCCCTCAAAAGTTTATAGTTTCCTGTTCTCCCACAAGGTCCTACCTTGAAATCCCCTAGTTCCTTCAAATAATCTTAGTGTGATAGTATTTCTAATCATTGGCCAATAGATTCAGAGATGGAAAAATTGTTAAAGTGTGTAGTAAGGACTTTGTGCAAAATTTTATGCTAAATATATTGGGGATACAAATATAAAAGCCCCTGTTGTCAAGAATTTTTTTTTCATAAATCACAAACATTTATTTCCTGAAACTTAAAAAGCTTTAATTTCATTGTTTTAGCTTCATACTATCAGGCTTCCTTGTGTTTTATGTTTACTGTGTGGATCTTGAGACTCAGAATTCATTGGCACAAATGTCGAATGAAGAAGGCCAGCCTTTTTGCTACATCTTGGGTAGCATCATCATGTAAATAAGAGACTACATTCTAATAGATCATGGCACAGGTAGGAGGTTTCACCTGCAGGTCAAACAGAAAGTTGCCGTGGACGTAGGATGCAACAGCAAAGCAGATGGTGATGGAGGAAATAAGCATTTATTGAGCTCGGTTTGGTGACTTTTAGGAAGAATAACAATAGAGTTACCTAAGAATTATAAGAGGTTAAAAAAAGGAGCCAGCAATAAAACCCAGTATGTACTAAAGAATGGGAAAATAAAGACAAACATTTGCCCTCAGAAAACTCGTATTCTCTTTGGAGAGACAACATGGACACATAAAAGTATTTATGAAACAAGTCAAGGGACTTTCCCAAGGTCACACAGGGACAGAGCTGGCAGTTGAACTCAGTGATTTCACCTCTATCTCTTTGGGTATGGCCAGTCATAACTCTTCTTTTCTGGTCCATTGTTCCTTTGCACGTAGGGTTGCTCAAAGAACATTACTTGTTTGCCAGGTGATGCCATTTGGTGTTTGCCGTACCCTGCCTTGTAATTGTAGAATGTGTATCCCATACCTTAAATGCATGCTGGGGATAAATGGCATGAAGTGGAGCATTGGCCTCGCTACGTGCTTCATACATTTTTGTTGGTGGATCCTCACCAGTGCAGCTCAAAGGTGATGGGACAACTGTTCTAAAATAGATAATCCAAAGATCGAATTGATTGAAATGAGGAGGAAAAGAGTCAGCCCAAGGCCAAACAACATGCTGTACCCGCTGTCCCTACGGTAAGGAGGAGAACCACCCAAATTTAATGGTATTTTTTTTTCCAATTACATGTAAAGATAGTTTTCAACATTGATTTTTGTAAGATTTTGAGTTCCAAATTTTTCTCCTTCCATTCCCTCCCTCTTCTCCAAGACAGCAAGCATTCTGATAGAGGTTATACATGTACAGTCATGTTAAATACCACCAAAATTTCGTGATGTGGATAGCATTCACTATGCCCTCCCATATCCTCCAGCAGGTGAGGCTCAGAATAAACTGCAACCTATGACGCTAGGGAGGGAGGCAGCTAGGTGGCACAGTGGATAGGGCTTAGAGGCAGGAAGACCCAAGTTCAAATCCATCCTCAGACACTCCCTGTACAATTCTACATAAGTCACTTAAACCTCTGTCTGCCTCACTTTCTTTTTTTTAACTTTAATATTTTATTTTTACCTCAGTTACAGGTAAAGACAATTTTAATATTCCTTTTTCAAATTTTGAGTTCCAAATTTTCTTCCTTCCCCACCACTTGAGAAGGCAAGCAATTTGACATAGGATATACATGTGTAGTCATGCAAAACATTTCTGTGTAAATCATGCTGTGAAAGAAAACACAAAAACAAAAAAAAAATAAAGAAAAAGTATCTTTGATCTGCATTCAGGCTCCACCAGTTCTTGCTCTAGAGATGGACAGCATCTTTCATCATAAGTCCTTCAGAATTGTCTTGGATCATTGTATTGCTGAGAATAGCTAAGTTATTCACAGTAGATCACCATACGGTATTGCAGTTACTGTGTACAATGTTCTCTTGGTTCTGCTCATTTCACTTTGCATCAGTTCATATAACTCCAGGTTTTTCTGAGAGCCTCCTGCTCATCATTTCTAACAACTTGTTCAGTCATTCCCCAATTGACAGATATCCCTTCAATTTTCTTTTTCTTTGCCACCAATAAAAGAGCTGCTATAATTATTTTCACATGTTCATATAGGTCCTTTTCCTTTTTGTTTTTTTACCTGTTAGGGATACAGACCTAGTACTGGTATTGCTTGGTAAAAAGGTATGCATGGTTTTATAGTCCTTAGGCCATAGTTCCAAATTGCTCTCCAGAATGGCTGAATCAGTATATAACTTCGCCAACAGTGCATTAGTGTTTTAATTTTCCCATATCCAACATTTGCCATTTTCCTTTTTTGTCACATTAGTCAATCTTATAGGAATGTGGTGGAATCTTATAGGAATGTTGTTTTAATTTGCATTTCTCCAATCAGTAGTCGTTTAGAGCATTTTTTCATATGACTATAACTTTGGTGACTGTCTGAAAACTGCCTGTTAAATATCCTTTGACCAAATATCAATCGAGGAATGGATCTTATTTCTATAATTTGACTCGGTTCTCTATGTGTTTGAGAAATGATGTCTTTATTAAATAAACTTGCTATAATTTTTTTCACAGTAGTGATTATCATGTATTTCTCTCCATCCTATCCTCATTTGTCCTATTCTGTCTCTCTTTTCACCCTGTCCATTCTCAAAAGTTTTGCTTCTGATTTTTACCTCCCTCAATCTTCCCTCCCTTCTATCAGCCCCACCCCTCTTCTCTTATCCTCTTCTCCTCCTACTTTCATGTATGGTAACAGATTTCTACACCCAACTCAGTGTGTGTTATTCCTTCTTTGAGCCAATTCCTGTGAAAGTAAGGTTCACACTTCCCTCTTCCCTTCCCCCAGCTTCCTTTCCATGGTAAAATCTTTCCTGAGCTGCTTTTATGTCAGATAATTTACCCCATTCTACCCTTCCCTTTCCCTCTCTCTCAGTGGATTCTTTTTTTCTCACCCCTGAATTTTGTTTTATTTTTTAGATAGTCATCCCATCATATTCAACTGATATTTCCCCCAGCTTCCTTTCCATGGTAAAATCTTTCCTGAGCTGCTTTTATGTCAGATAATTTACCCCATTCTACCCTTCCCTTTCCCTCTCTCTCAGTGGATTCTTTTTTTCTCACCCCTGAATTTTGTTTTATTTTTTAGATAGTCATCCCATCATATTCAACTGATATTGGTGCTTTCTATCTATGTATACTCCTTCTAACAGCCCTAATAATGAGAAAGTTTTTAGGAGTTACAAGTATCATTTTTCCATGTAAGAATGTAAAGAATTTAACCTTATTGAATTCCTTATGATTTCTCTTCCCTGTTTACCTTTTTATGCTTCTCTTGATTCTTGTATCTGAAAATCAGATTTTGTATTCAGCTCTGGTATTTTCATCAAGAGTGCTTGAAAGTCCTCTATCTCGTTGAATATTAATTTTTTCCCCCTGAGAGATTATACTCAGTTTTGCTGGGTAGGTGATTTCTCAGTTGTAATCCTAGCTCTTTTGCCCTCTGGAATATCATATTCCAAGCCCTCTGACCCTTTAATGGAGAAACTGCTAAATATTGTGTTAACTCAAGTATGGCTCCATGATATTTCACTTGTTTCATTTTGGCTACTTGCAATATTTTCTCCTTGACTTGGGAGCTCTGAAATTTGACTATAAAATAAAATAATATAATATAATATAACATAATATAATATATAATATAATATAATATAAATATAATATAATATAATATAATAAATAATGAGAATTTTCATTTGGGGATCTCTTTCAGGAGTTGATCAGTGGATTGTTTCAATTTCTGTTTTACCCTCTGGTACTAGAATGTCAGGGCAGTTTTCTTTGTTGATTTCTAGGCTCTTTTTTTTTTTTAATCATGACTTTCAGATAGTCTAATAACTTTAAAATTATCGGATCTATCTTCCAGGTCAGCTGTTTTTCCAATGAGATGCTTCATATTTTCTTCTATTTTTTTCATTCTTTTGATTTTGTTTGATTGATTCTTGTCTCATAGAGTCATTAGCTTCCACTTGCCGAATTCTAATTTTTAAGGAATTATTTTCTTCAGTGAGCTTTTGTACCTCCTTTTCCATTTGCCCAATTCTGCTTTTCAGTGACATTCTTTTTGTTGGATTTTTGTGCCTCTTTTTACCATTTGGCCTATTCTGTTTTTTAAGGTGTTTTCTTCAGTATTTTTTTGTACCTTCTTTACCAAGGGGTTGAATCTTTTTTTCATGGTTTTCTTGGATCACTCTCATTTCTCTTCCCAATTTTTCCTCTACCTCTCTTAAATGATTTTTAAAATCCTTTTTGAGCTCTTCCATGGCTTTGGGCCAATTCATATTTTTCTTTGAGGCTTTGATGTACGAGTTTTGGCTTTGTTTTCTTCTTCTGAGTTTGTATTTTGATCTTCCCTGTCACTCTGATAACTTTCTATAGTCAAGATCTTTTTCTGCTATTTGCTCATTTTCCAGTCTAGTTGAATTTTAACTCTGTGCTAAAGTGGGGCTCTGCTTCCAGAGTGGAGGGGGCACAATCCCAAGCTTCAGGTTTTTGGGTTTTTTTGTATGTTCTGTTTTGTAGCTATTTACAGAGGTAATTCTGGGGATGTGTAAGTTTTTAGTTCTTCCAAGGTGGTATGATCTAGAGAGAGGTATGTTTACTCCTCTCCTGGCCTGTGCTCTGGTCTGTGAGTGACCATAAGCACTCTTTTCCACCCTGGAACTATGACCAGGGTCCCCATTTCCCTGTAATCTCCTGACCCCCTTACAGTCTGTGGGCTGAGAGGTCTGGAAACCGCCACTGCTACCACTGATTCAGTTGCCCCCCAAGGCCTGCTCCACGTTTGCTGGGACCCATTCTGCGCTGGCAGGGCTGGTGTTGGACTATGCTCCACTCTCATCCAGGGTGACAGAGCTTTCCTGCCTACTTCTAAGTTTTGTTTTGATCCATTATTTAAAGGTATTTGGAGGGGTTTGGAGGAGAGTTCCGGCAAGTCTCCTACCTTTTCTCCTTCATCTTGGCTCTGCCCTCGATCCTCAGTTTCCTTAACTAAAAAATGGGGATAATAATGGCACCTATCTCCTGTGATTGTTCTGAAGATCAAATGAATTTTATTTGTAAAGCATTTAGTGCAGGGCCTGGCACACAGTAGGCACTTAATAAATGCTTATTTCCTTCCTTCCTGTGGACCAGCTCTAGCTTTCTGAAATACGACTTCCAAAATATAGCACAGTGTTCTAGATTTGTTCAGATTTATTTGGTGCCTCTGCTTTGTCTTTCCCTGCCCTAATCCATCCCCAGAGCCACCAAAGTGATCTTCCCCAAAGCACAGATCTGATCATGTCACCCCTCTACTCAGTAAACCCTGGTCACTCTCTGTTACCCCAAGGATCAGAGACAAGCCTGTGTGGGACATATAGAGCGCTTCACAACTTGACCCTTCCTATCTCTGGAGTCATCTTACACATTTATTCCCCTCTTTACTCCAGCCATACTGACACACGTAATAGTCTGTCTTCTTGTCCATTCACTGGCTGTCCCTCATGCCTGAAATGCCCTGCCCCTGCACTGCTGCCTCTTGGAATCCCTGATTTCTTTCCAGAATTAGCTCAAGCTCCACCTTCTGCAAGAGATCTTTCCAGCTTCCTCCAAAGGCTAGTGTCCTCCCATCCAAGCTTAACGTGTGTCTGTTTTGTATCTCTCTTGTACTTGCTCTAGTGCTGAGCACATAGTAGGCATACAATTAAATGTTAATTGACTGACTGCAGGAATATAAATTCCTTGAGGGCAGAATCTAAAAAAATGCAAGTTTTATTGTATTTTTTTTAACCTTGTATATTACTGTTTTATTGATGCACAGCAAGCATTGTAACTTTACTGAACTTGAGGTAATCAGTGTAGCTTGGATATTGATACACTTTTAAAGTTTCATGGCAAATAACAGACATTCACAGCTTTATTAGCAAGGCTGCATCACAAGGTGCTAGATCAATGCTGAATTAGTCATTCAATTTTAAGATTTCACTTGAGGGGCAGGGACAAGGAATGGAAGGATATAGAGATGAAAAGAAAAAGGAACAGTACCTCCTAATTCCTCCAGAAACAATGTTTTTCCTGTGAAGTCAATCATGAATGAATGGTCACTTTCTCCTTTAATCCCCAATCATCATAAGGAGCCTTTTCTAGTATAAAATTTATTGCAGGTTTTGATAAAGGAGATATCCCCAAAAAGTAGAGTATTTCTGGCTTGCTTCCGTAAATTACTACCCTGTGCAAATGTGACCATATCTAATCTCCCTAGAATAGCTGAAGAACTGCATGATTACTGGCAGTTTCATGTATTGTGTTGTATTGTATTATGTACTAGACAAAATACAAATATTTTCCGTGAAGATAAAAAATTTGCATAATTTTCATTTTATTAAAGGTACAACAAACTTTAGTACAATTTGATCATGATGTTCAAAATCATTAGTCACTATTTACGTGGTTGTTTTTCTTTTCCTTTCCTAGTGTTGTCATCACTTTTGTACAGGGCTCTGAGTCTGTCTCACAAAAGTTCAGGTTTCTGTCAATAGAAGACGATAGTGAAGCATTAGCTCTAGCCAATCTTCCCTTTCCCACACACATTAACATAGGAATGCCATCTGTTCCATTCCTAAGGTGGCCAGTGATCAGCCGAGATCCATAACCATGTGAGTAGTGACTTTGTTGTTCTTTGTGCTTTGTCCTCAAAGAGGACCATGGCATCAGGAAGGTGATGTCATGACTTGCAGGTGAATTGGATTTAAGTGAGCGAGGGCTGGGCAAAGTCACCAGCCTCACTCTCTCCTCCAGAGCCATCTGGGTCCAGTGGCCAGATAGAGATAGTGACTTAGAACCATCTGGAAAAGAAAGCAAAAACAACTGTCTAAATGGTGATTTGGAAATAGCAGGCTTTTTAAATGGCAAATTTCAGTGACTCGACAACAATTCAGTGGGGAGGGAATATCTCAGTCACTGTCTGGCTGCACACCTGTGCTGCTTAGAGGGAACATTGATACTCGGTGTTTGGAACATACTGTGTGTTTAATTTAATAAATGTTGACTGATTGATCAGTACAGAACACAGTTAATATTTATCTTCAAAATACTGAAAACCCTGATTAGGACTTCATAAACCACAAATAATATCTCTACCTCCTCCCCCTGCCCCTTGGTCCTTGGATCCAATTTAAGGAAATTTCTAGATAAATGCCCATAAGAATATATAGGTTTTGATGAAGGCAACTAGGTGGCATAGTGGATTAAAGTGCTAGCCTTGGAGTCAGGAAGGGGGTTATGAGAATGGAATAAACGTTTATTTGGCACCTTCTGTATTTCCAGTCACTGTACTAAGTGCTGAATTCAAATCCTGCCTCAAGCACTTAGTAGCTGAGTGCCCCTGGGCAAGTCATTGAATGTTTCTGAGCCTCAATTTCCTCATTTGAAAAAATGGGGATAATAACACCTATTTCACGTTCTTGTGAGGATCAGATAAAATGATATGCGTAAAGCATTTTGCAAACTTTAAAGTGCTATTAAATGTTAGTTATTATTACTGCATAGAGCACCTTGGTATAGTGGAAAGTATGGTGTAGCCATTAGATGTGAGTCAGGGACCTGGTCTATGTTGGTTCTGCCATTAAGTAGTTTTGGACAAATCACTTAACTTCTTAAACTCAGGTAAAATTTTGGGTTACTTTATTCAATTCCATTTAACAAATATTTACACCCATTATGTGCAGAATGCTGTTCTTCATTCCTGTGGCTGCTAAGATGGGAGGAGAATGGCATCAGCTCTAAATTCTTCCTTACTCTACATTTCAAAACCTTTCAACATCATCCCTCATTTTCTCTTTCATTTCAGTTATTTTATTTTATTTTTAGGCAGTTGGGGTTAAGTGACTTGCCCAGGGTCACACAGCTAGTAAGTGTCAAGTGTTTGGTCTGAGGCTGGATTTGAACTCAGGTCCTCCTGACTTCAGGGCCGGTGCTCTAGCCACTGTGCCACCTAGCTGCCCCTCATTTCAGTTTAATGACCATATTGCCTTTCTTGCCAGATGCCCTCTTGGCAGATTGGCTTTTCTACCTCCAAATGCCCACCCCCTATCTCTCATCATCATCATCATCATCCACGCCATGACCCTAGGTTCCATCTTTGGCCCTCTTCTTTTTCTTCTTTACTCTCTACTCTCTCTTGATAATCTCATCAGCTCCTAGTTTCAATTATACAGATTATTCCAAAATCTATATGTCTAATACTTACTCCTCTTTTGACTTCCACTTGTCCAGTCATTTTAGCCGCATCCAACTCTCCATGAGCCCATTTGGGGTTTTCTTGCCAAAGATACTGGAGTGGTTTGTCATTTCCTTCTCCAGCTCATTTACAAATGAGGAAACTGAAGCAAACAGAGTTAAGTGACTTGCCCAAGGTCACATCACTAGTAAGTGTCTGAGGCCAGATTTGAACTCAGAGAGATGAGTCTTCCTGACTCCAGGCCAGGTACTCTATCCACTGAGTCACCTAGCTGCCCTTTGACCTCCAGGACTGAATCACAAACTATCTTGGCTTCTACATCTCAATAGTATTTCTAAAGCATTGGTTTGACCCATCCCTTCTCTTCAATAACCTCTAGTGAAACCCTATTAATTCTAGTAGCCCATACAGATTCCTCTGCTTGGTATTTAAAGTCCTTTATAATCTGGATCCAGCCTAACTTTTTCAACCTCATTAAACACTAATGCCTTCCATGTGCCATCTAGTACAGCTAGATTGACCTCCTTAAGATTCTTTACACAGAACCTCATTCCTGGAATGCACTCCTTTCTCACCTTTTCCTCTTAGTATCTCATAAAAAATTTAGCTCAAACTTTCACATATATTTATCTTGTATATTTTTATATAAGTACATGTTATCTACATACAAATTATATGTCCCTAGAAAATGTAAACTGTAGAGGGCCAGCTTTGGGGAGATGGAGGGCTTAGGCCAGCCCAGGTCTTACCTATAGATTGTACTAAGCCTGACAGCTGTGAAACTCAGGATGTTGGCTCACCCCCCCCCCCCCCGTTCCATTTCTTGAGAACAGGATGCAGGAAGGCAGGAAACGGATGGGGTACAGGACAGGACGCAGGAAAGAATGTAACAGACAAGGTACAAGGAAGTAAGGAAATCACTTAATTAGGTTTGTGCTTTTACTATTGCTTGATTCAGTACTATATAAGCCTGAGCCCTCAGATCAGTAAACAGAGTTTGTTCTTCACTGCTCTCACCTGGCCTGTGATTCTTTCTTTCTTCACACTCTGCCGGCATCAGACCACAGCCGGGGACGCAGGTGCTCCTGCAGTAAACTTCTTGAGGGCAAGGACTGTTTAATTTCTGTTCTATATATCCCAAGCGGATGGCCTTACACATACTAGGTGCTAATGTTTGTTGACTGACTGAAAGATGAAACAGGTAAGGTTTCAGAATGAAAAATGTTTTATAATGTCTCATATTGTCTTTGTGATCAAGATAGAGAGATATGGTGTCAAATTCAAATAAATTCAAAATCCCTGAAGGCCTCATACTGATTTAGAAAATCACAAACTAGTATTATCTATATTGCACTGTATTTTTATTCATTTTGTTAAACATTTTCTAAGTGCACTTTTATCTGGTTCAGGCCACACTCTGGAGTTTTACAGGCCTCCCTGGGCCAGCAGCCCTCAGGCGTGCCATCTCTGGTAGGTGATAGTAGGCTCATTCAGGACTAGATTGAATGACTGGAGGCATTAATGAGTCAATGTCAACTTGAAGGGAGCTGTCTAGTGGAATTTCCCAGGAACCTGGCCTGGATCCTAGGCACATATATGCTATTTGTGTGTATATATGTATGTAAATATATATGTGTGTGTGTGTGTATATATATACATGCTCCTGATACACATTTATATTTGCAAATGACAAAGACATAGATGAGAACTATCAAATGTGTTGCTAATATTAAGTTAAGAGGGACAGCTAATATGTTGAATAGAAGGGTCAAGGTCCCTAAAAAGTTCAGCAGGCTAGAAGGAAGGGCCAAGTGAATCTAATTAGACTTCATCAAGGATAAATAAAAATATTACACGTGTATTTGAAAAATCAACTGTAGAAGAGGGATGTATGAGAAGACAATAGTTGGTGTAAAATTCAAAATAGACATGAAGTGGATCTAAAGTTAGATTCTGGACAAGATGGATGATGACTTCCAAAGAATAGTTACTAGTGATTCTATGTCAGGTTGGAAAGTAGTCTTCAATGGAGGCCCCCTGGGATGTCTGGCTATTCTTGAGCTGTTTACCATTCTTTATCAATGTTTTGAATAGATGATATGGGGCAGCTGAATCGTATAGTGAATAGAGTGCTGGGTCTGGAATCAGGAAGACTCATCTTCCTGAGTTCAAATCAGGCCTTAGACATTTACTAGCTGGGTGACTGTGATCAAGTCACTTAACTATGTTTTCCTCAGTTTCCTCATCTGTAAAATGAGCTAGAGAAGGAAAATGAAAAATGACTGAACAACAAATAGATGATGTGCTTTTAAAATTTCAGATGACAAAAAGCTCACGCGATGGATGCCGAGACAGAATTCCAAAGGCTTTTGATAAGGCAGAACAACTGGGTGGTATCTAATAAGATGACATTTAACAAGGATGAATTTAGAATCTTACATTTGGGTTTAAGAAATCAACTTCACTGGTACAAAAGCAGGGGAGATGTGGCCAGACAACCGTTCTTTTGAAAAAGAGCTGGGGACTTTAGTCAATTAAAAGCTCAATCTCAGTGAATGGCAGGATCCAGAGAAGGGCAGCCCGGAAAGGGAAGGACCATCTTCATGCCACATGGGAATCATTTGAAGGAAAGGGGATGTTTTAGCCTGGAGAAGAAAAGACTTAGTTTAGAAAGGGAGGAGTGGTGGTGCTGCTGGTGTTAGACATTACAGCTGTCTTCAAGTGAATGCAGGTTGTTGCATGGAACAGGGATTAGGCTTGCTCTGCCTGGCCTCAGAGAGAAACTAAAAATAATGGAATAGATGGCAGGTGCTCAAATGCAAATTTAAGCTTGAAGACTAACTAACAGTTTCATTGTTCAGTTGTTTCAATTGTGTCCAACTCTTTATTGATCCCATTTGGAGTTTTCTTGGCAAAGATTCTAGAGTAGTTTGCCATTTCCTTCTGCAGTTCATTTTATAGATTAGGAAACTGAAGTAAACAATGTTAGGTGACTTGCCCAGGGTCACACAGCTGGTAGGTGTCCAAGGTTGGATTTGAACTCAGGTCTTCCTATCTCCCCTCCTAACAATTAGAGCTATCCAAAAGTGGAATGGAACTCCTAAGGAGGTAGTGGGTATCCTATTTGAAGCTCAGGCTGGTTTATCATTTGTCCAATATGATAGAGTGTATTTTTTGTGCAGGTCCTGTTTTGCTTAGATAATCTTTAGGTTTCCTTTTACCTTTGGGACTTTGTGAATCAAAAGTATGACATGTCCATTAGAAAGATAACACAACTTTAGGCTGTATTAAGAGAAGCAGTATTGACAATGAAGTAGTATATGTTTGGTTCTACCTGCAGCATTTAGGAAAGTTATTGACAAATGGGTATGTATTCTCAGGAGAATGACCAGTCCATATAGTGATCTGGTTAAAATAACTGGGAAGGTGAGAATCTTATTTTACTTTAGTCTACTCAGACCACATCTGAAGTACTCTTTCTTTTACTTTCTTTTCTTCTTTCTTTCCTCTTTCATTTCCTTCTCTCCCTTTTTTCTCTTCCTTCCTCCCCCCTCCCTGTTTCTCTCTGTCTCTGTCTTTTCTCTCTCTCTTTCCTTCTTTTTCTCC